TGGGCCAGGGACGGTTGAAGGCAGTTGGCACGATAAATCCCCCAAGACGAGTAGGATTAATACGCCTGGCAGGACGGAATTCCGCGACCCTGAGCAGGCGCTGCATAGCGCCTTTTCCAAGGAAGGTGCCCTTATAAGGGCCCTATCAAGCCACAACATACCGACCCAACGCCCACCACGCCCGCCCGCCCACAAATGGACGACCGTTCCTGACGCTCGTATTCATTCATTTGCTAAGCAAATTATGAAGCGAAGGGATTGGTATGAAGCGGCCGTGATGCTGCATGGATGAGTACACATATGCAGCCGTACTTCGGTAGCGGTTATTGGCAAGATGCCTATGGGAAACTCGTCCAAAATTGATTTAAGTCATTGAGAACGGAGGCTTTTTCTTCGCAGGATTTTGACCGTTTCACTCCGTTCTTTCGCCATTTCCCCACTATATAGCGCCCTACTAGCATTTTAGGCCAAGTACCCAAATTAATCAAGTATCGTGCTAACTGCTTTTAAGTGGCGCACGTAGCTCACACAAAACGGGAAAAATCGGAAAAAGGCAAGACGAGAAGAACGTTCATTGCGCTCGGAAAATTTCTACCAGGGTCGACCTATCCCCTCTCTCCCTTCCCTCCGTCCGGCTAACACCCCCGACTGAATGCGACTCCTCTTCCATCGCGATACCCCCAACGATGTAGATAGCGCACGTGAAACGGGATAAACCAACAAACAATCACAAGTTTCGGCCCCTACTCAACGACCAGTTACGGCTCCCCCTCCTTCTATGATGAGGACCATAATTACAGTGCCGGTCCCAATTCAGTGAGGAGCGGAACTACTGTGGTGCGAGGGCCAGATGAAAGAGAAGCAGAGGCGTATGCACAAGAGAAGATTTCTGGGAGGAATATGCAATCGTGACCGGGGTATCCCGCACGTTCTCCAGGTATGCATCATTCATATACAACCATAAATTACAAAGGGTAATAGAAAGGTCAGTGTTCAGGAAAAAATCCCTATTTTGCAGTTCCAACCGTTCAACAACTATAGTCGCGGAAAAAAAACTTGGAACAAGCCCAAGTCGCGCGCTTTTTAATAGTTTTACATACAATTTTTAAATTGCACATGAAAACTTTGTTTGCTCAAATCAAGTACGCCTTAAAATGCTATTCTAAAAATAAAGTTGGTTGATTAAATTCGTTACCGGGACAGAATTTTGAAGATTATTGCGATGCGGCATGCCGCTGCCACTCTGATATTGGACCGGTTTTCAAAGTTTCTAATGCTTTGGGAACAACATAGGTTTCTCGAGAGTTGTAAAAAAAGAAATGGAAGAAGGGAGCGAACACTCAGACAGGTGTGATCTTCTTGCGA